TCCTGGTTCAAAAACAGTGATAAACTTGGCAGGATCCTTGATAAACTTGTTTTAAATCTTGACAGGATCCTGCAATTCCGTGGCTACACGCTTCTTTCAGGATTTAGTCGTTTCCTCAGGAAAAAACATCGAATCCTTGCAGGATCTTGATCCTATCTTCCAAGGATCCGGGGCTGAAACATCAAAGATTTTCCCTAGGGTAGCATTGGTGGAAAACTCCCTATCAAAATTCTCTCAAATTATGGACATACATCAAGCACAATTAGCAAAACTTACGTCAAAGCATATAGAACTCACAGCTGAGCTTCAAGTGACACAGAAAGCTCTTAATGACATGGTACCTATCTTAAACTCACACTCTGCAGCCATCAATCTTCTTAAAACTGGTTTTGAACAGCTACAAGTTCACTTTCAACACTCCTTCCTTTACTTAGCAATAACTCAAATTTCTCGTAACGAACTCACTCTAGCCTTTTTGTCACCGCAAGATATACACAAAGTGGTATATAACGTTATTAAAGAAGGAAACCTAACATTTAATTCTTACCCTGGATCACTTCCAGTTGTTCAAATCATTACTAAACTTCTCATTCGTCAGCAAATAGACTTCATTCCCAGTTCACAATATACACTCGATTACCCAGACTATATGGATAACCCAGAAGAAATCGGTCGTCTTGTCATTACTAGTTTTTTCGCCGTTCCACGACAGGAACAAACACCTTTCTACACCTACAAATTAGTAACAATTCCCCTCTTTCATGAAAATGAAGCAATCCAACTCACTCAAATTCCTCGATACTGGGCAATTAATCCAGCAAATAATATCACTATGGAATGGCATAATCCAGAAGAATCTGGATGCGATCTTCAACTCATGACATCATGTCGTGATACTCCACATATGCGTAGGATCTCAAAAGACACTTGCCTTGATCAAATCATAGAAAAGCTCCCGTTATCCAAATGTCAAACAATACCGGTTCCTACTGCCAACTATTTTGTTCGACACTTAAGAGATAACTTTTGGATTACTTCGTCATCTGAATCAGTACATTGTGTAAAAATTCCAAGGATCGAACATCTTAGTGCCATGCAACAAACTGGAAGTATAAATGAAGAAGTAATACTTCCACCTGTTTCTCTTGTAAATGTAACTGAAGGTTACAATGTTGCATGTCCTGGCTTCACTTTAGTAGGCCGTCCTGTAACTTCAAACGCGTCTTCACTCGTTATCTTGCATAACAGTGGCGTGCTTACTAAAAATATCTCTGTTATGAATGTTCATCAATATATTACAGAAAATATGACATGGTTTAAAAAGAAGGTGGGCGAACGAGAAAGAAAAGATTTGACGGACTTCATACATCAAATAAATGCTGTTTCCACGTATCGGACCTCTCTTTCTACCCACATGCAATCTTTCGGTATGTTAACTTCCCGTTGGATTCTTTTCGGGCTGTTTGCTGCTTTATTATGTTATGTTTATCGACGCAAACGAAGAAATAACTAAGCAAATCTTTAAATTATTCTACTTTCCTAACCATCAACCAAAAGAACTACGTAAATAATTAATTTCACAACGCGGAGAAGAAAAAACTGTCTTTTTTTTCTAGATTTTGATTTGCAGTTCAAATATTATTTACTAATCTTTAGACAGATAAATCATGGCTGTGACAATATTCATTCGCATAGGAATATGATCTGTATTCTCCTGAATTCCGTTTTCGCAAAATATGTTATATGATGAAGTTAGAGAAATCCAACTGTCACAATACACATATTATATGTTTTCATATTTGAACAGAAGAGTGTAATTCTCACCAAGTGTGTGTTGAAAATTGTTAATATCTGTCTATAATTGGCACTCGAATATGCATGTATATATTAGAAAGTTTCTTTTTTTCTATTGTTCAACTTGAAGATTCATTTTTCATGTCAAAGATTTGTTAATCTAGACTTAGAAGTTAGTGGAGTTCGCTTTTTTTTTATTCGGTTGCTTAACTGTTCAAATTTCATTCATAATTTATACATTATACTAACTATATGTAAAAATATTGATAATTACAGTAGCTTTTATATTCATGCATAAAAATTTTCTGAAATTGTGAACTATTTGTAGAATTTAGACGATATGTATTTATTTTAGATTTTACTAATACAAACATTCGCATCTCCGTTTAAGTTCATTCATTCGAAATGTCTCAAATATCAAGTAAGTATCATGTTGAGCTGATTTTTCAAATTTATATTTATGTATTCCTTTGTATCATAGATGCAACAATGCATACAAACAATTCCTCAGACTTATCGGCAATTATAACTGATAAAAAGGTAAGAACTAACTACATGATAAAAAGTTTTATATTTTTCTTCATTAACAACAGGCTACTTCGACTAGTGCAGAAGAACGAAAAAAAAGACCTGCTCCTCTACCACCTAATTGTCAAGAAAAGCAAGGTATAACTGATGATCATATATCAGAAGAACGAACTCCAAATGTTACTTCAAAATATATTGATCAATCAATATGTGTCAATGTGACTGAGACAGCCGTGAAAGCTTCCGCAAACATTCAAGTGTTACTTAAACTTGCAAGTGAAGAATTGCTTAAAATAGTGATTAAATTCGAAAACGAACATCCTCAATTATCTTCCACGATTTGATAAAATATCAATTGCTTCATTGACGAAGCGTCGTTTTGTTTTTGTATTGTGAATGTAGTGTTGTAGTACTTAAGTTTTCAGATCATTTTTGTTCTTTTTCTGGGTGTGAATACGCGGTAACCCTGGTGGGCTTTTCTGCATATGTATATGATACCCTTTCCATATACGCACGGCCATCCACACTCATACCCTGAGTCCTAAATTATTGCTTTCTTAAAATTACATAATAGAAGAATAAAACTCACTAAAAAACTCAAACATTCTTTAAGAAATCTTTCATTGTAGATTATTGTTAAAAATTCAAAACTTTTTCGATACTACTTAGAAAACGAAATGTCACATACATCTAGTAAGTAAAATGCCAGAAGCCTTGTTCTTTGCGGCTATGTCTTGGTTTCTATCTGACTTCTTTAGAACCAACAACAGGCATAAATATGAACAAATCTTCGGACTCAAGCATCGCATCCACCCAAGATAAGGTAGTAATGGTCTATGTTCTTATACAATATCCATACATTTATTATAATAGGCAGCAGCTGAATTATCAGCACAAAAAATGAAGCGAAGTATTTCTAGTGATATTCAGATGGAAGTAAAAAAAATCATGGTTAACCATGGGCATTCAAGCCAGAAGAGTCAATTGATTGCTGCTGCACCGTCTGCAATTAAATTTGTTAGTGCAGCTACGATGATCAGCTTGACACAAACGAGCAATAATGCGATACCGGAAATATCTGATGAAGAATTACTTGAGATGGCTTTGATGCTTGAAAAACAACAAGAACAACAACAATAAACTATCATTCTTACGAAAAATAGACATACAGCGAAATAAATAAAAATTATCCTTTTTGTGTGTTGTTGTAGTTGAATAATCGTGCTATTATAATTCTTATTATAATAAGTACATATAGGTCATTGACGATTTTTATGTTGTTGTATGTGACGGAATTTTTCTACAAGAAATATGTATTTAAATATGTGTAGTTAGATGAGTTTATTCATTTTATGAAAAAGATCCTTCTCTAAATGCTTCAGTTCAATTGTTATTCTCACGTTACGTAATTGTGACGGTGAAGAATGATTTGATATTGTTTTTTGTTCACTTTGTATATCGGAACAAATTGATATCCTTTTCATTGAAATTAAATAATTGTAATTATAACCATGTCACTATATTATAATATTCATTTGCCTTTATACTGTAGCTTACTTTTGCATCATTAAATAGTTTATTCTTCAGAAAATAATAATGTTTGCTGCTTTTAGATAAGTTTCTTTATTTTTCATTTCACATCTTTTTCACTTGCCGATCTTTATTGTCAGACAATATGGATAATTATCGAAAAAAATGCTATCAAATTGCAAGTGACAGTACAAGTTGTGACATCATCCAACACAGCATACAATTTGAAAGTAAAATAGGTTTTTTTCACTCAGGAGAATTGTATGATCTTTTCTTCATTCGTAGGAAAACCTACCACGATTCATGATTTATGCTGTGATATTTGGGAGCACATATTTGAGTATTTTGAAATTTCAGACTTATTTACGTCGTTTCCATCTATCACAAATGCTGTCGATCAAGTTTTATATAATGAATACTACAAGTTCTTTTTAAGTGGACTTAAGCTTGATCATGATGAAAAAGTCCCACAAAAAATTCCTTTGAATCGAGTTATTTCTCTCACTCTCAGCAAAGCCGTTTCTTTTCAACTTCTTCAACATTGCTTGGAGCTTCGATCAATAAAACTTATCGGCGAAAATGAATGGATCACAGGAATTTTGAGAAATATTCGGGGAAGCAATACAAAACTGAACCAGCTTACCGTTGTTACTCCTACAATTGGATCTATACAAGAATTATTAATGCCTGTTTTATCTATTTCCTCTTTGCGTCGACTAGAAATTCATATTGATGAGATAATAGAAAGTCGACAAGTCTCCACATTAATTAAGATACCAAGCGAAATCGAACAATTTATTTTTGATTCAGGCTCCACAATTAGCTGGAATGATTTTTCACGTGAAATGTCTAATTTTATTCCTATTCGTTTTCTAAGCATTGGCTTGCTTGATCGTAATCAGAAACCTATGCCTGCAAGCATTTTGCTGAATGTTCGTACTCTTAGTCTCCGGTTACTTGAAGTACCTTTCAACTGGATCATTCAATTAGTAGCCACAGCAGCATGCCTCATTAAACTGAAGCTAACTGGTCTGGTAGATGCTGATGGCTTCGTTCTTAATCAAAGATGGATTTATTTGTTTGAGTCAGCATCGACTCTTCTACGAGTATTTGTTAACGTATCTTTGCAACAGAGTGATGAATCATATCACTGCGAAAAGATTCAAGCACCATTATCTGCTCTTCAATTGAGTCTTATATGCACTGATGATGACACTGATTGCAATCTATTATACTACGAGAACGTTAATCGATGGTGGAATCTGAAAGGCATGATCATCAAACAGTAAAATTGCATATCACTATCTGAAAAAGAGTGGTTAAATGCTTCTTATTTTGCACCATAAGTGTAACTAAAATTAGAAATGGAGTGATTATCATTTATAAAATTACTTGAAAGATCTACAATTACATAATTAATTTGAAACAAAATTTCTTCAATTTTTATTTTGTAATCGATTTTGTAAAACTTTTTTTCTAGATCATTTTCACTAGTTTAACACATTGTGCTTCAAAAGAATAGTTTTCAAATATCATAACATTGAAAACATTAGTACTACTTGTAGTTAAATTAGATAAGATTTATATGAGCAGTCGATGTCTATTTTGCGCACAACAAGCTTCGACGGCTTGCTGTTCGAACTGTCACAAGCTAGGTCGTTCTACTATGTTCGAGATTCTTTTAACACTACTTGGCAGAGCATCTGTTGCCAGTAATTACTTTGATCAAATCAAGGTCATTTGTCAACAGATTAATACGGTAAGTTTAGTAACAGTGTATTCCAAGTGACATTCGCTTTTGGCAATTTAGTTGGAGTGGGTTTTACCACCGATTCAATTCTCACCTGTCACATATTTTGATCCAGAAGTTCATAGAATAGACCAAGAAGCCAAATTATATCTTCAGGAAACACCTTCAGAGGTTCAAAATATGATTCCAATTGATGTTATTGGAGATGGCAATTGCCTCTATCATTCAATAATATGTTTAACTGGTAGTACAGTTTTAACAGCCATTGAGCTGAGAGGTAAACATTTGCAAAACTGATATTCAATTATTTTACCATATTATTTCTAGTTCGAACTTTAGTAGAACTTCTCAGAAACGAAACCTTTTACAGCAATAGTTTGGCACATATTGTTGGACCAGTCCATGAAATTATAAAAAATATTGCGCATAATTTTTCATTCTCGGAACTTTATGAAATTGCAGCATTGAGCAATGTTCTCAAATGCAACATACGGAGTGTATACCCGAAAATTGACTATCGTCCGGATCTAAACATTATGAACACCACTTTTCAACCCTTTCAGCATAGCATTTCATCCGAAACAATGTATATATTTTGGACACATACTCAAAATGAATTACATGTACGAAGGGGCAATAGTGGTAGTTGGACACCTAATCATTTCGTGCCACTCCTGCTTCCATCGCAGAATTTGTACTTTCAAAAAGACTCGACATAAACAAGAGACATTGGTTCAGACTTGGTAAGTTCAGTTTATTGTGAAAACTTTCTGTAGAAAAATGTACTTTTAACTTTAGACACCAACCAAAGCAACAACAAAGAACAATACGATGACTCAAGTACGTATTCCTGAGTTCAATATGGAAGACGAAGAAGCTCAACTACTTCCAACGTCATCAACCGTATCTGCTCCAGTACAGCAAATTACAACAACCCCTCGAACTAAGCGCAGACTACAAGTAACTGAGAATTCTACGAATGTTGAGAACATAAATATGGATCGAAGGCGTCAAAAAGCTCGTGAAAGGATGGCTGCTAAACGAGCTCAAACTACACCAGAGGAAGCCGAAAGACAACATGTGCTCGCAAGAGAAAGAAGTGCAGCCAGAAGAGCGGCCTTTACACCGAAACAAACTGAACGGGAGCGTATCCTTGCATGTGAAAGAAGTGCAGCTAGAAGAGCTGCGTTAAACACCGAAGAAATCGAAGGACAACGAGAAGCAACTCGTGAGAAAGTTGCAGCATGGAGAGCTTCTCTTACATCGAAAGAAATCCAACTACAACGAATACTTGCTACTGAACGAACTATGAGTAAACGAGCTACAGCGTCACCAAAAACAGCCGAAGAACAGCGGGTAGTAGATCGTAAAAGAAGTGCCACAAGACGAACTACTTACACACCTGATGAACTCGAACGTCGCATGCATCTGCTCGTCAGAGAAAGCAACTTCAAAAAGGAGGCAAGCGCCAACAAGAAGAGACAAAAAGAAAACTACATGGAAGTAACGACTATGAATGGCCAAAGCCTATTGATATCGAACGCAAGAAGAACTGCTTAAAGAACTTTATTCAACATATGTCGATGACTTCTCTGCAAGAAGGTGTTTGCAGTATATGTAACGTTCGTCGCTATAAACACGACCTCCGCCACGTACCGTTCAATAAAATACCATCTATTGAATTATTGAAAGTACCCGATAATTTTTATGACATAATTCCGGGAGTACAGAAAACTCAACAATACCAGTCACGTGATAAGCTTAACATGAGTAACGATCTTGCCATGGCTTTGGTTCAAAAAGAAAAAGCAGCAGGTTTGTCTTGCTAATACGTAAATTAATAGAGTAAATAAAGTTTTATATTATAGATACACATGCTGAATCAACAACGAATAAACAATCATTTATTTGTGTAAACGGTATCATTTTTTATGAAGCAGGATTGCATACAACTGTTGAGAGAAAAAAACGATATTCGATATACTGTGACATTTGTTCGGAATGTTGGTCGTCTCTAATAAAAGAGAAAACACCGAAATTTTCGCCGGCAAACAAAATGTGGGTTGGGGATGTCCCAGAACAACTACTAGGACTCACAATTCCTGAGCAAAAACTGATTGCTCTTTATAGGCACAATAGCTGCATTGTCAAGTTACATTCATCTTTTCATTCGACAAGTACAGCCCAGTCAGCTTTAAAAGGAAATTGTATAAGTTTTCCTCAAGATGTTATTAATATATCGACTACCTTACCATTGGATTTAAATGATCTATGTGATTCTTTGAAGATAATTTTTGTTGGATGTCGCCCTCCGCAACGAAATCAATTAAAAAATGTTTTAACTGTCCGGAAAAAAGAAAGTTTTCGAAGCACTTCAATGGCTTAGACAAAATAATCCTCTTTATCATAATATCACAATCAATCAATCAATAATAAACAAATTACCTGACGATGATGTACCGGAGTGTTTGTGGACAACTATGGAAATTTCTACTAATGTAGAAGCAGGTGAAAATGAAAGAGCAAGTTACATTCCTGACTTGTTGACAAATGTATCTGAACTTAACAATACAGCAGCTATACCCATAATCTCAAGGTAAGACAAAGAAACATGTTGATATTTTTCCACTTATAATATTAATGTTACAGCGCTGTGTTAGATGTAAATGGCACCAAAGCTTCATCCGATGAAGTTGCTGAACATCTTTTAGAACGAATCAAATCACAAGTGACAGAAAAATAAAACGGAAAAGACACCAAGCAAAATTCTACGCAAGACCCTGTATACATAATTCCTCGTGGCAAAAAGCCGGCCAATGAGTATTCTAATCCAAGTCTTTTATTAGGAATCTTCCCCACCCTATTCCCATATGGATGTGGTGGAATTGAGGATGGTACTCGACCGATTCAAATCAATTATCGTGAACACCTGAGATATCTTCTTTCGTATGCAGATCGCCGCTTTGAAGAACACTACTCATTTATATTCGTTGTCTTCAATATTTTGCAACGTCGAACAGCATGTTTCCACGCCCAATTAATGACAACAAAACCATGGTTTCAACAATCTGCACAAGTTCTTAATTCATTAAGCTCCGAAGATGTAACAGCAGCCCTTATTAATATCTCACAAGTGCCTTACTCAAAAGTTACTGACGAGAGAATAAATACGTTGATGAAGCACATCAAAATTATTGGTGGTCATGTCATGGGCTCAGCTCATTCAAGATCAGCTCTTCGTACGAAAATTCATTCTTTATGCTTTTATCTCGGTCTTCCTAGTCTTTTCCTCACGATCAACCCAGCCGACATCCATAGTCCAGTGGCACTTTACTTTGGAGGTGTCAATCTTGACTTCGACAATGTTCTACCAGAAGTTCTGCGCACAAGTTATGAGCGTGCTCAAATTATCGCGGCACACCCTGTTGCAACTGCTAAGTTTTTCGACTGTTTAATAAAAAACGTTTTGAAGAGCCTAGTGATGGGCGGTGTGCTGGGTCCTACAAAAGCATATTTCGGCACTGTAGAGAATCAAGGAAGAGGATCGCTCCATCTGCATCTCTTGATTTGGCTTAATCATGAATATACTCCAGCACAATTGAAAGAAAGTATTCAAAATCAAGATTTTCGTGAAAATTTACTAAAATACTTAGAAGATGTCATAAAAGAAGATTTGGATTCCTTTCGAGGTAATATACTTGACACTGTGTAAATCTGTGATTTAAAGTTTCTACATTGGCCTAGTTGATAGTGTTCTATACCCTTGTAGCATATCACTGTTTTAGTTTGAACTTCAGTTTTCAGAATATTTTCAAAATTTTCCTTAACATAAAATATATTCCATTCAAAACGCTTATTCTTACTTTATATTTATGATATTTCTATTTTTTGTAATTTCGAATATCAACTCTCTTTTTCAAGATAACACCAACGACACATCAAGTATGGCAAGCAATAGTGGAACATCAGCCGGTGAGCTTTGAAACTCTTAGGAGTTCGTTAATTATAAGTTTCATTTTATTTTAGAAGAAACTAGGACAACAGCTAATGAAGTTCTATCAGCATGTCTCCCAACACCACATCCTACGTAGAAAGACTTTGATCAAATGTTTCGCAAAGATATAGTTGAACTGGTCGAAACCTGCAATATTCACAAACATTCTGCGACTTGCTATAAATATTCCAAAGGCAAGAGCGATACTTCGAAGAGTTGTCGAATGCGCATGCCACGCGCACTAGTGAAGATTTCCAATGTTGACGTTGTGACAGGTCAAATTACTATGCGCCGATCACATCCGTGGATCAATAACTTTAATGAGTGGCTTTTAAGTGCGTGTCGATCGAACATGGACATAAAATTCATATGGAGTGGTAGCGACGCTAAAGCATTGGTTTACTATATAACCGACTACGTGACAAAGTCTTCAGTGGCCTTCTATGATATGTTTGCGCTTTTGCACAGCAAGGTGTCAAATCTATCGAGCAGGAACGAATTTCAAATAGCACAGATAATATTGTTGATAAATCGCGTAAACTAGTGTTACGCTGTTTCAATATGATTGCTTCGCAACAAGAAGTTTCAGGTGTCCAAGTTGCGTCGTACCTAATGAACCACGGTGACCATTACACTACACATACGTTCAAAAATCTTTTTCTTATTTCAATCGAAAGCTACATACAAGCAGAGCTAAATAAAGCACGAATTAACGAAAAAGGACTCGTCGGAGAGAAAATAGATGGTAAAACTTTTCAAAATAATTGAGTAAATTTTTTTACATGTGTCTTTTGTAGAGACTTCAACAACTTTCTACGATGAGGATGCAGATAAAAACGAAGACGAAGAACAGTTTGTATTAGAGCCAACAAATACAAAGAACGGCGATCAGTATGTCTTGGTCAATACTCGTCTTGACTACCAGTATCGATCAAAGGATCTCAATGCAGTATGTCTATATGATTTTGTTAGCCACTTTAATAAGAAGGTTATCGACAAATCGGATCGTCGTTTACTAAAGAATGGAACCGATTTTCAAGGCCAAAAATTATCTACAAATGAAACGAAAATGAATGAACGTCACACATTTGACAGCGCACATCCGCAATCATCCTCTCATCTCATAATCAAACGTTCGATACCGGTAGTACCAGTTCTTGTAGGTCCTCAAATACCTCGCCGCGAACGAGAAGAAACATATGAACGCTACTGTCGTGCGTTGTTAACATTATTCGTGCCATGGCGATCAGTTCATGACATTTGTGCATTCGATGAGACATGGTCTCAAGCACTAGAGGCTCGAAGATTATTGATCTCTGCCAACTCGCTTAAAATTTTAGAAAATATAGAACTTTTGCACGAGTGCAAACACGATCGAGATGAACACCTCCATCAAGTTCTTTTAGAAGCCGCAAGTGACAACAGCATTGAGCCTATTTTACTCCCTAACTACTATGAAGGCGATAACAATGCAGAAGAAGACGATCCTGAGCAACTTTTGCAAATGATCTCCATCATAAATGAAACCACCACACGCGCTTACTGTGGATTGACAGGTACTCATGAACAACGTTATGTACATGATGCACTACAAGCAATCGATAATACAGATAGATTTGTATTACTGAATGGTAAGTTTATCGCTGCCATATTTCGAAAATATTTAATTTGATGTAGGACGCGGACATGCAGAGAATCAAAATAACTATAATACCATACATGATATCAATACATTTGTGCTAGCTACTTCACATCACACTGCCATGATGAAACAGTGGAAACGTGATATTGAATCCCGACGTGACGAATCAAGGAATTATTTGATTTCAGCTGAAGATCCTCTCGATGTACGAGATTATGAAATACAAATTGAAGTCGTAGTCACTGAAGTACCTACAAGTCCAATTAAAATGAAAAGTACAACAGTTCCACCAGTGACTACAACTACTGAAGTCTTATTTCCAACAAAACAGGATATCATCAGCCAATTTACACTAAATAGTCAGCAAAAGTATGCTTTTATGATTGTGACTAGTCACTTAGATGGCGAAAACCAAACTTATACTGGTATATTTCTTAGATTTTGCTGTTGAAAGTTTTGATTAGNGAAACTCAGCCAAAAAGCTAAATACGACCGACATACCACAAATCGCCAGTTCTTTGTAGGCGATCTTGTATGGATTGAAATCCCTACACCTCAAATCGGCAACACAACCATCACCAACAAACTACGTCCCAAGTATCAAGGCCCATGCCGTCTTATAGAACAACTCTCCCCATTCACTTTTATTGCCACGCCTCTCAGCGACAACGTTAACCTTGGTGCAACCAATATTGATCGGATCAAACCATATTACGAACCACAAACTGGAACGGTTTCTGTTACACCCACGCCAGACACTTCCTCTCCCTTGCGACGTTACCCTTTACGGATACGTCGTCCCCCACAAACTTATTAACGAAGTTTCCCTTTTTCTATTTACTAACATTGGACATAACATAATCAACAGCAGAATGATCTTCTTAATGCACAACTTAATCCTGTTTCTATTATATCCGTTACCATCGTCATTGTTATTAACTCCACTACCACAACCCAATATTCTTCATCCAACTTCGGGTCTTGCTCTTCAATATATATATCAATATTCACCAGCGGATAGCGTCGTACCTCTTACAGTCGCGATCCCATTCACACAAGACATGTGCTACTTACTACCTCTACACGCGGTACGTAAAATACCCAGTTGTCGTCACCCTACGACCAATTCCTCGGATAACGCCGCATCACGACAAAAACGTTTTATAACCGATATTATTGCCATTGGAATGGGTTCCGCGGCACTTGCAATGTCAACAGCAAATTCTATTCAACTTCTAAAATTAAACCAAGAAGTCGACACCATTACCAAATCCCTAACAACACTTGACTCCATAGTAACCGTACATACAACACAACTCTTCCATCTTCAAGCTGGTCAACTGAAACTAGCTCTTGCCCTCAACCACACTCAATTTGCTCTTAATCAAACGATAAGCCTCGGCAAACATCATGACATTAGCATCGAAAACCTCGCAATCTTTGCAAAATACCTTAATAATCGACTTACCACCTTTATTCATTCAGTCGAAACTCACTTTCTACATACTTCTCTCTCGGATATTTTTTCTAACCGTCTCAATCTTCACTTTATTCATCACCGTGATCTAACCACTGTAGTCGATTTTATCATATCCACTACAAACATCGGTGTCCGCAATGATATCATAGGTCCACCCCTGTGGACCTAGCAAGCAGTCTCCTGATAAAGCAAACAGTACACTTCCTGCCTCGTACAAGAACATCCAGTCTCCCTGACTCGACTCTCGGGGTTTTGTCTATCTCTTCCTTCTTTGCAGCAACTAAAAGACGTCAAGCACCTTTTTACGTCTATAAACTGCTACCAATTCCGTTCTCTCACTCAGGTTTTCGTGTTCAACTAGCCAATATCCCATTTATTATTGACATCAATTTCTTCAACGAGCAACTTATTACTTGGCCATATACGGAATCTTTAACTTGTGATTTTCGCGCTATGTCTGTGTGCCGCGAAACTCCACCCATCATTACACATTGGAATAACACTTGTCTGTACCAAATTTTGATGGACGCTGTTCTATCCGAATGTCGTACTGAAACATATCCTGACTCTCTCTTTATTCAAAAAGTTGGCAACCAATGGATTATATCCACAAATACATCGCAACAATGCCATTTAACTGCATTCTCTTCAACTGGCCCTTCCTACGTCATTCACAATACTGTACGTACTTTACCCGCAGTATCCCTGATAACCATTCCCCCCAAAACCACACTCATATGTCCACTCTTCTCCATCCCGGCAACGCCGGATGTTATTGATCAATCCATCACTGTTTGGGATTCCACTATTCTCAACAATTCTAACCCAGCCGACTTTAACCTCCACTATCATTTAACCAATTCCTCTCGATGGACCAAATTACCATATATCACAGATGAATTCAAAGCTGTTTACAACTATATTTCGAACACTTCAACAAGTTCACCATTGTCTACCCTGAAAGACTTACATCGCCATCCTTTTAGTGTTCTTTCCGCCATTTTCATCATCATCATCGTCATCCTGTTCGCCATCTTAGGCTATTGCCATTTTTATCGTCGCCCACAACTACCCAGGGTTTATTTTCAAGTTCAGCCTAGCGCTGACACCTCGAACACACCCTAGTTATATTTTCATCATAAGCCTATTTCTACCTCTCTCCCCCTTTGAGACGCTCAGGAGAGCGTCTCAACTGCAACCAGGGGTGTAACAACCCAACCGAACTTGTAGAGTGTTGTTTGTGATGCATTTTTCTATCTGTTATTCATCCAAATCTCTCTGCACTTTGATCTCTTTCTTCTTATATTTACACTTTGGAAGCGCACTATCAATTCGTCCTTCACTCGTACATAGTCATGATCTTTTCTATTCGTGCACCTTGGAATGGCATTCTTCGTGTGCCCTTCCCTCACACATCGTGTTATTAATTGTAACCTTTGAGTTTGTCCTTCCACCTCAGATTGTTTTCACTGTATCTTTCAAGGTCCTTAAATGCCAGGAGATGGTATATAAGGAACGAGAAAAATACAGTGCGGGACGGTTCTTAATATACTAACAAAGTATTCGTTGAATAACTCTTATACAGCGTCTGCTACATCAGAAATCGTCACAATGATCTCTGTCTATCATAAATTGTAGATTATTGAAAAATATTGCTGAATCTGCTATGTATGGAAAATTGCTCAATGGAAAATCTTAACGTCTGCTTCTGTTCTAATCAACAGCAACCTTCTTGGGACAACTGTCCATGATGATATTTGAAAAGATTCATTCATTAAGCTTTTCTTTATGCCGTCTGAAACTAAATCATCTGATGAAAGAGCCGACTGTAAATTACCTCTGCCGGCTTTTGAAATGCAGAAAAGGCTTTTCATCCACCCCCTTTCCGCACCATATGGGATAGACGATGTGTAGTGCAAAATCGTCTGTTTTTGTAGTTGAATAATCTTGCTATTATAATTTTTATTATAACAAGTACATAAAGGTCATTGGCATCTTTATGTTGTTGTATGCGACGGAATTTTTCTACATGAAATATGTATTTAAATGTTTGTACTTAGATGAATTTATCCATTTTATTAAAAAGATTCTTCTCTAAATGTTCCAGTTCAATTGTTATTCTCACGTTGCGTAATTGCGATGATGATGAATAATTTGATATTATTGTTTTCACCTTGTACATCTGAACAAGTTGATATTCTTTTCATTGAAATTGAATAATTGTAATTATAACCATGTCACTATATTATAATATTCACTTGCATTTATAGTGTATACTACTTTTACATCACTAAATAGTTTATCCTTCAGAAAGTAATAATGTTTGCTACTTTTAGATAGCTTTCTTCATTTTTCATTTCAAGTCTTATTCACTTGCCGATCTCTATCGTCATGTAATATGGATAATTATTGGAAAAAATGCCATCAAATTGAAAGTGGCAGTACAATTTGTGACATCATCCAACGCAGCGCACAACTAGAAAGTGAAGCAGTTGTTTTTTACTCAGAAGATTTGCATGATCTTGTTTTCATTCGTAGGAAAACCTACCACAATTTATGATTTGTGCTGTGATATTTGGAAACACATATTAGAGTATTTTGAAATTTCAGACTTATTTACGACGTTTCCGACCATCACAAATGCTGTCGATCAAGTTTTGTATAATGAATACTACAAGTTCTTTTTAAGTGGACTTAAGATTGATCATGATGAAAAAGTCCCACAACAAATTCCTTGGAATCGAGTTATTTCTCTGACTCTCAACCAAACTGTTTCTTTTGAAGTTCTTCAAAATTGCTTGGAGCTCCGATCACTGAAACTTATCGGCGAAAATGAATGGATCACAGGAATTATGAGAAATATTCAAGGAAGCAATACAAAACTGAACCAGCTCACCGTTGTTACTCCTACAATCGGATTTCTACAAGAATTATTAATGCCTATTTTATGTATTTCCTCTTTGCGTCGACTAGAAATTCATATTGATGAGATAGTAGAAAGTCGACAAGTCTCCACATTGATCACGATACCAAGCGAAATTGAACAATTTATTTTTGATTCAGGCTCCACGATTAGCTGGAATGATTTTTCAGGTGAAATGTCTAATTTTAGTCGTATTCGTTTTCTTAGCATTGGCTTGCTTGATCATAATCAGAAACCTATACCTGCACGCATTTTGCAGAATGTTCGTACTCTTAGTCTCGGGTTACTTGAAGTACCTTTCAATTGGATCATTCAATTAGTAGCCACAGCATCATGCCTCGTCAAACTGAAGCTGACTGGTTTGGTAGATGCTGACGGCTTTGTTATTAATCAAAGATGGATTCGTCTGTTTGAGTTAGCATCGACTCTTTTACGAGTATTTGTTAATGTATCTCTGGAACAAAGTGATGAATCATATCATTGCGAAAAAATCCAAGCATCACTATGTGCTCTTAATCTGAGTCTTATATGTAATGGTGATGATAATGATTGCAATCTTTACTATGGAACAGTAAATCGATGGTGGAACTTGAGAGGTATGGTCATCAAACAGTAACGCTACATATGACCAGTTGAAGAAATTTTCAAATGACATATGCCAATGCATATCAACGGACTCTACTCGTAATTTATTGTGTGCTTTTTTCCATTTATTAAATATTCTCACATTTGTACGATATCTTTAGTCTATATTAGAAATCACGCAACAATCATTTTTAGAACTATTTCAAATCTCTGTAATTGAATATTTCATTTTAAATAAAATCTGTTAATTTATATATCCTGTAATCTGTTTTGTAAATAATTTTCTTCTAGATCATTTGCACTTGTTTAACAGATTGTATTCGAAATCGATAATTTCCAATTGTCACAATTTGAAAGCATCAGCATTAACGTTATTTCAATTATATAACATTAATATGAACAATCGATGTTTATTTTGTACACAACGGATAGCAACAGTTTGCTGCTTAGGTTGTCGTACGACAGGCCGATCTACAATGTTCGAGACTCTTTTAACACTACTTGGTAAAGTATCTGTCATCAGTAATTACTACGATCAAATCAAGATTATTTGTCAGCAGATTGAGACCGTAAGTTTACTCACAATATGTTCTAAGTCATATTCTATTCTTACGATTTAGCTTGAGTGACTTTTGGCACCGATTCAATTCACGCCCGTCACTCATTTTGATTTAGAAGTTCATAAAGTAGACCAAGAAGCTAAATTATATCTTCAACAAGCATCTTTAGACGTTCAAATATGCTTCCAATACAGATTATTGCAAATGGCAATTGTCTCTAGAACTCTATTATATGTTTGAGTGGAAGTACAGTGTTAACATCTAGCGAACTGAGAGGTAAGTACTGACAGTCTTATTATTCAATTATTTTACTGCGCTTTTTCTAGTGCGAACTGTAATTGAACTCGTCAAAAATGAAATTTTCTATCACAATCACTTTGCACATATTGTTGGGCCAGTTAATGAAGCCATAAAAAACATCGTTCGCAATTTTTCATTCTCGGAACTTTATGAAATTGTAGCATTGAGCAATATTCTCAAATGCAACATACGAAGTATATATCCCGTAATTGATTATCGACCTGATCTAAGCATCATGAATAGTACTTTTGAACATGCTCAGTACAGCATTGCGTCCAAAACAATTTTTATATTTTGGGCACATACCCAAAGTGAAATCGGTGCGCGTAGGAGTAACGCTGGTCACTGGTCGCCTAATCATTTCGTGCCACTTTTGCTCCCATCAGACAGTTCTCAGAGTCCAAATAATCTAGCTCAACCAAAAATCTCTGACTCAGGCTCTGTAAGTTCTAGTTTATCGCAAAACACCTTAGACAGAAAACAAGCACTTTCACTTACAGACACCAACTAAAGCAATAACAAAAAATAATACACTGACTCAAGTACGCATTCCTCAATTCAATCGGGAAGATGACAAAACTCAATCATTTCAAGTGTCATTGATAGCTTCCACAACGACTCAGGAAGTCACAACAACTTCTCGGACTAAACGTCGACTACAATCAATACAGAATTATGTCAACGTTGAAACTGGAAATATTGAGAAAAAACGAATACAAGCACGTGAAAGAATGGCTGCTAAGCGAGCTGAGGCTACACCAGAGGAAACTGAGAGACAACGGATACTTGCAAGGAAAAGAAGTGCTGCTAGAAGAGCTGCTTTAACACCAGAAGAGGCTGAAGAACAGCGAGCACTCAATCGTGAAAAGAATACAGATAGACGAGCTGCTTTTACATCTGAGGAAATCGACCAACAACGAACGCTCAATCGTGACAAAATGGCAGCTTGGAGAGCTACTTTGACAACGAAAGAAGTCGAACAACAACGGGCACTTGCCGGAGACAGAACTATGGCTAAACGAGCTACTTTGTCACCGATAGAAGCTGAAGAACAGCGAGTACTAGCTCGCAAGAGAAGTGCCACAAGACGGGCTGCATATATATCGGAAGAAGCTAAAAAACAGCAAGCACTGACTCATAAGAGAATCCGCCTTCAGAAAAATGACAAGCACAAACAAGTAGTGACAAAAGGAACAGTATGTAAAAGTGTTGATGTTGAATGGCCGAAACCAATTGATATAGAATGCAAGACTAACTGTTTGAAAAACTTCATATAGCACATGTCCATGAGTTCTTTAGCGGAGAGTGTCTGTGGCATCTGTAATGTTCGTCGCTATAAGCGTGACTTTCACCATGTACCTTTGAGTAAAATCCCATCGATTGAATTACTCAAGGTACATCCTGATCTTCACAGCATAATTCCTAAAATGCAAGAAATGAGCAGCTTGGATTCAAACGATAAGTTTCACAAGAATGACAATATTGATTTGAGTTTGATTCAAGACCAAAAAAATGCAGGTTAGTCTCTTCGTTACTTAAACTTACAACATTAATAAGATTTACTTTTGGTTTTAGATAGGAATGTCCAATCGGCAATGAATAATCAATCATTTACTTGTATAAACGGAATGCTTTTTTATGAAGCAGGACTATATAAAACTTTTGATAGAAAGAAACGCTCCTTGATTCACTGTGACGTCTGCACGGAGTGTTGGTCGTCTTTGGCAAAAGAAAAAATACCCAAGTTTTCAGCTACCAATAAAGTATGGATGGGAGACATACCAAAACAACTACAAGGACTAACCATTCCTGAACAAAGACTCATTGCTCTTTACCGACACAACAGTTGCATTGTGAAATTACAGTTCCCTTTTCATTCGACCAGCACAGCTCAGTCAGCTTTAAAAGGAAACTGCATAAGTTTTCCGCAAGATGTTATTAACATAGCTACTACTTTACCATTGGAATTAGATGATTTATGTGACTCTCTAAAAATTATTTTTGTCGGGTCTCGCATGCCACAAAGAAGGCAACTAAAGCATATTTTGACCGTTCGAAAAAAGAAAATTTATGATGCTCTCCAATGGCTTAATCAAAAAAATCCACTGTATCGATATATTACAATTAATCAGTCAACAATCGATAAATTACCTGATGACGACGTGCCAGAGTGCTTGTGGGCAACAATGGAAATTTCAAATAATACGGAAGCGGCTGAAAGTGAAAGGTCAAGTTACATTCCTGATCCTTTGGCCAATGCATCTGAATCCAATACTACAACAACTGTACCAATAACTGCAAGGTAAAATAAGCGGATATATTGATATTTTCAAGTATCCTTGTTTGTGTTTTAGTGCTGTTTTAGATGTTAACGGTACTACAGTTTCGTCTGATGACGTTGCTGAGCACCTTTTAGGACAAATGAAGATACGAGTGTCAGATAAAACGCTCGAAAGACAATCAGAGGAACGTGCGAAACAAGATCCCGTATACATGATTCCTCGTGGTAACAAACCGGCCAATGAATATTCTAATCCAAACCTTTTATTGGGTGTCTTTCCCACACTTTTTCCGTATGGATGTGGTGCACTTGAAGATTGTTCTCGGCCAGTTCAAATCAATTTTCGTGAGCATGTGCGCTATCTTCTTTCGTACGATGATCGTCGTTTTGAAGAGCACTACTCATTCATATTCGTTCTCTTCAATATTTTACAACGTCGTACTGCATGCTTCCATGCCAAATTAATGACATCAAGACCATATTTTCAGCAATCCGCACAGCTTCTTGAATCATTCAGCTCTGAAGATGTAGCAACAGCTCTTTTCAATATCTCCAAAGCGTCTTATTCAAAGGTTACCGACGAAAGAATTAATACGCTCATGAAGCACATTAAAGTTGTTGGTGGACATGTTATGGGTTCAGCTCATTCACGATCGGCTCTTCGTACGAAAATTCAATCGCTGTGCTTTAGTCTCGGTCTTCCAAGCCTTTTCGTAACAATCAATCCGGCCGATATACATAGTCCAGTAGCACTCTATTTTGCAGGTGTTGATCTCGATCTTGATAAGGTTCTACCAGAAGTGTTGCGCACAAGTTATGAACGTGCTCAAATTATCGCAACACATCCTGTTGCTACTGCAAAATTTTTTAACTGTTTGATAAAGAGCATTTTGAAATGCCTCGTGATGGGCGGTGTACTTGGTCCTACAAAGGGATATTTTGGCACTGTAGAGAATCAAGGCCGAGGATCGCTTCATTTACATCTCCTTATTTGGCTCAATCATGAATATACTCCAGCACAGTTGAAAGAAAACATTCAAAATCAAGATTTTCGTGATAATTTACTAAAATATTTAGAAGATGTTGTAAAAGAAGATCTGGACCTATTTCGAGGTAACACATCTAGCACTGTTTGAATTTGCGATTTCAAGTATCTGCATTTATCTACTTGAGGATATTTTATATGTTGAGAATACTCGATCGTTGATTCACGTTAGAAGTGAGCTGTCAGGAAATTCTCAATAATGCAAAATACATTTAATTTTAATCACAGATTCTTGTTGACTTAAATAACTGCATTAAGTCATTTGACTGTTAAATTTGACCGTTCTTTTTATAGATGAAATCAACGATGGAACTAGTACAGCAAGTGACAACAGAGTATCCATTCGTAAGTTTGTAGCTTTCAGTGCATCATCAACTTTGCTTTTGTCTTCATCTTAGAAGTAACTGGCTCGATAATAGATGAAGTTGTACCGGCTTGTCTACCAACACCAAATCCTGCGTCGGACGATTTTCATCGAATTTTTTGTAAAGATGTAGTACGATTAGTGGAAACGTGCAATATTCATAAGCATTCTATAACGTACTATAAATACTGGAAAGGCAAGTCCGATGCTTCAAAAACCTGTCGAATGCGTATGCCACGTGCACTGGTGACGACTTCCAACATAGATCTCTCAACAGGTCAGATAACTATGCGCCGGTCACATCCGTGGATCAATAACTTCAATGAATGGCTCATTAGTGCTTGTCGATCCAACATGGATATTAAATTCATTTGGAGTGGTAATGATGCTAAAGCTTTAGTGTACTATATAACTGATTACGTAACAAAGTCGACTCTAGCGTTCCATGATATGTTTGCCCTTGCGCAGCAAGGAGTCAAATCTATTGAACAACAACGAGTCACAAATAACACTGATAATGCTGTTGAAAAATCGCGTAAACTTGTGTTACGTTGCTACAATATGATTGCTTCACAACAAGAAGTTTCAGGTGTTCAAGTGGCATCATATCTAATGAACTATGATGATCATTATACTACACATACGTTCAGAAATCTTTTTCTTATCTCAATTGAAAACTATTTACAAGCAGCACTAACCAAAGCAAGGCTCAAGGAAGAAGACATTGCCGAAAAGAGACTAGACGGTAAACAGTTCTAAACTGATTATATTCATATTTAATATGAGATTTTTCTAGAGATAACAACCCCCTTTGATGAAGAATAAGAAGAAGATACAAAACAAACTGAAGAACAATTTCTACTGGAGCCAGCACAAACCAAAAACGGTCCCCAGTTTGTCATGGTAAACACTCGCCTCGACTATCAACATCGATCAAAAGATCATAGTGCATGATGTTTATATGACTTTGTGAGTCATTTTTACAAAAAAAACATTGACAAATCCGATCGCTGCTTGATAAAGAATGCGAATGGGTCTGAAGGTGAACAACTATATACAGAAGGAACAAAAATAAACGAACGGCACACATTTGAAAGTGCACATCCACAATCATCATCACATATCATCATTAAACACACCAAACCAGTTGTACCGGTTCTTATTGGACCTCAAATACCTCGTCAAGAACGTGAAGAAACACGCGAGCGTTATAGTCGTGCATTGTTAACTTTATTCGTGCCATGGAGATCAGTCCATGATCTTTGTGCGCTCAATCAGACATGGACTGAGCCACTGGAAGTTCAAAAGCCATTGATCTCTCTCACCTCACTCAAGATTATACAAAATATACAACTTTTGCATGAATGTAAACACGATCGAGATGAACATCTTAGTCAGGTTCTTATGGAAGCACAGAGTGACAGCAGCATTGATCCTGTTCTCATACCTAGCTACTATGAAGAAGATCAAAATATTGAAGAAGATGATCCTGAACAACTTTTGCAAATGCTTTCCATCGTAAATGAGAGCACCACAAATGCCTACTCTGAATCAATCGGTAACCAAGAGCAACGGTATCTCAATGATGCATTACAAGCAATTAATAACACAGATCGATTTGCATTACTCAATGGTGAGTGTATTAGAGTTGTACTTCGAAAATATTTAATTTTATTTAGACCAGGGAAACGTATGGAGCCAAAATAGCTATGACAACGTACACGATTCAAGCACATTCGTGGTAGCTCACTCACATCATGCAGCAATGTTGAAAGAGTGGAAACGTGACATTGAAAGCAGAAGGGAAAAAGCAAGAAATTATTTAATTTCAGGTGAAAATACTGTGGAAGTTCGAGATTATGAAGTGCAGATTGAAGTCGTAGCGGCTGAAATACCAACCAGTCCATTTAAGGCTCAAACTACGGCAGTGCCACCTGTGACTATAAGAACAGCGATCTCATTTCAAACAAAAATGGATATCATCAATCAATTCACACTAAATAGTCAATAAAAGTATGCTTTTATGATTGTTACCAGCCACTTAGATGGCAAAAACTAAATTCACACCGGTATATATTTTTCACTTTATTTTTACAACTTATCATTAGTTAAAATCCTTTAGGTATTATCGACAACCAGTTATTGATGTGTGTATCTGGCTGTGGTGGTACTGGAAAATCTCAGTTGATTCGTGCAATCACGCAGTATTTTCAAATAACAAAACGGGGCAAAATGCTTCGTAAATTGGCACCAACATCTATTGCAGCAGCAGAAATTGATGGATTAACCATTCATTCATTTTTAGGCGAAAGTCGCAAAAATTCCAAAAAGAAGCAACCGCGCACATTCAGACCCGGCGATGCAAAGTTGGAAAATGAATGGCGTCATGTCAAATACTTGATAATCGATGAGATGAGTATGGTTGGACTTAGCCTATTAGCTCGTCTCAATCGTATAGTGAAAACAGCAAAGCATATAAATTCAGAGGTTCCTTTTGGGGGTGTAAATGTCATTTCTTTTTGGAGACTATCTACAATATTCTCCAGTGTTGGATAGACCTCTCTATCACAGCTGTGCATCGTCTGAACAAATTACGGAACGTCAAATAGATATACAGTGTGCGCAGAAACTTATATCTCAAATGAATTGTGTCGTTGAATTGAGTCAGCAAATGCGAACCGAAGACGTGTGATATTTGGAGCTCTTAAACAGATTAAGAAATGGGCAATCGACAGTTGAAGACTATCAACTTCTATGTACACGCATCATCGGGAATCCAAAATTACTAACATCTTTGCAACAGAAGCCATGGAATGAAGTAGGTTTGACCAGTATGTTTTTCTATATGTAATCATACATTCTTTAACAGGCTCCAATACTCGTTTTTCGAAACACACTTCGTACTCAAATTAACAATCGAGCTGTGTTAAATAAAGCAATAGAAATGAGACTTCGACCGATGGTGTGTGTTGCTCAGGATTATTTTCAAGGAAAGATTATAGACGACTTACGGTTACGCAAAACGATTCTTGATTTACCTGACAACAAAACGGAGCATCTCCCAGGCTATTTACCGCTTGTACCTGGGATACCAGTTTTGCTCACAGAAAACGTGGCTACAGAGCTCGGACTCTCCAATGGTACACGTGGAATATTTCACCAACTTGTATATGAAGAATCTTCAGTAGATATTCAATTTCAAAACAAGAATTTTCCAACAAATACCAAGTTTATCACACAGCCAAAATACGCTTTAGTGGAATTTCCCAATTGCAAGCTTGGTTCAGAACTTGCTGAACTTCAAAACAAGATGATTCCTATATCGATCAGTGAGCAAACGTTTCTCTTTGCCGTTAAGGAGCTTCGTCCCGAAAATGTTGCTAAAGCCGCAAAAATCAACAAGAAAACAACAAAAATTTCAATCAAGCGTAAAGCTCTTCCTTTAATCCCGGCCTATAGTATGACAACACATAAAAGCCAAGGTCAAACACTCAGCAAAATTATTATCTATCTCGTCATGCCACCTGGTCCAGTTGAAGTCGCCTCGATTTACGTTCCACTATCTCGAGTAAAACGACTTGATGATTTACTGATCGTTCGGCCTTTTGATTTCACAGCTCTTCAAGTGAAACCATCAACAGCGCAGCTCGAAGAGCTGAAGAGATTAGATACAATCGCAAAAAGCACTGCAAAACGTTTTCCATTAACTGTTTAGAAAAAAAATGTTAGCGATCACACGCTTTTTGCACCAATTTAAAAACTGTAACATATTTGCTGTGCATTGCATGTTCGATTTGTGTTTAGTTGAACACCATACTGTATTAATCTTAAATATAATTGTATGAGTCATTTCTTGAAATAAAAGCTGCACACCTATACATATTCGATCCAGTCAGAAATATTTGACCGTCACAACACCTCGAACGACATACTCATAGGTCATAGCATAAGACACCATATTTTCTAACAACATCAATTTCCGTAAATCTCACGCATATTCACAAAACCCCTCCAATCTACAACAGATACACTTATAAAATCTTTCGTCAACCTTTCCAAAAAAAACATTTTTTTTGTAAAAGCTCTCACCTAAAAAAAGCAAAAAGCAAAATTTCAAAAAACTAATCACAGATTCGGATTCCGCAACCCCGATGACCTTTGGTCAAACGTTTTAGAGCGTCTTCATGAGAGAGGTCAAGAAAACATTTTTTTGTTCTGTGCGAACGAACGTACACACACACACCCGGTTACGAACAAACGCATTTAATTCATTTTTCGTAAGACTCTCCTTTCAGTAGAGGGAACAGTGACAAAACATCATACATGGAAGAAAACGTAAAGAAAATGAGTGTAAATAATTACGACACATGAACGCAAGGTAAAGTAAAAAAATTGCCAGTATTGGATCACTTTTGAGTCGAACCATCTACACTTCTTCATCGAGACTCATACTTACGAAAAGTGATGGGAGAATTACAATGAAATAGCCTACCATGAAATATCAAGTTAGAATACAGTTCTACATAATTATGACATAAGTACTGTACAAGCAAATAATTAGCTCACTGGAAGCTTTTCTTCAACTATGTCAAAGGAGACTGATTCATCATAATTCATGCTTCGCAGGGCAAATAGAGGAGAACTAAAACACTGCGGGAGACCATTGAAAACAAAATAATAGTTTCAATTCATTGTGACATAAAAATAGAAGAGAACGAGTACTCATTCTTCCAGAGAACCTTTTTAATTGCACTTCATGTATTCAAATATAGTGACCTTCTACCTAGAAAAGAAAAAAACTAACTANTTTTCTTCGGTGACTACCTTCAATATTCTCCTGTTCTGGGCAAGTCTCTTTACTGTAGCTCCACACCGACACACCAAGTTACAGAGCGTCAAATAGATATGTTATGTGCACAGAAGCTTATGTCTGAAATAAATTGCGTTGTTGAATTAACTCAACAAATGCGAACCGAAGACACAAGATATTTGGACCTTTTGAATAGATTAAGAAATGGACAATCGACAATGGAAGATTACCAACTTCTGTGTACAAGAATTATAGGCAATCCAAAACTTCAAATATCTCTACAACAAAAGCCATGAAATGAAGTATGTGCACTCATTTTCTCTATGTATCACATTACTTTTCTTTCAATAGGATCCAATACTGGTTTTTCGGAATACACTACGCACTCAGATTAACAATAGAGCTGTCTTAAACAAAACAATTGAAATGGGACTCGCCCCAACTATATGTGTTGCTCAAGATTATATTCAAGGAAAACCTGTCGATGATCTACGATTACGTAAAGTGATACTTGAACTACCTGACAATAAAACCGAACATCTTCCAGGCTATTTAGCTCTTGTACCCAGAATGCCAGTTTTACTTACAGAAAATGTCGCTACTGAACTCGGACTCTCCAACGGCACCCGAGGAATCTTTCATCAACTCGTGTACAATGAATCACCAGAAGATGTTCAATGGCAGGATAAGAATTTTCCACCGAATACCAACTTTATAATGCAGCCAAAATACGCTTTGGTGGAATTTACTGGTTACAAACTTGATAGTACACTTGCTGAACTGCAGTCTAAAATAGTCCCCATAACTACCAGTGAACAAACATTCTTGTTTGACGCCAAGAACTTCTTCCAGATAATGTAGCAAAAGCAGCCAAAATAAACAAGAAAACAACAAAACTTTCGGTCAAACGTAGAGCACTTCCGCTTATACCTGCATATAGCATGACAACACATAAAAGCCAAGGCCAAACACTCGGTAAAATTATCGTTGATCTTGTCATGCCCCCTGGTCCACTCGAAGTTGCATCTGTTTACGTTCCATTATCTCGTGTAAAGAGACTTGACGATTAACTTATCATACGTCCATTTGAATTCGCAACACTTCAAGTTAAACCATCAACGGCCCAAATAGTAGAACTTAAACGCTTAGATAGAATAACACAAAACACTAGGAAACGCTTCCAGTTCATTATTTAAAACAACAAGTCTAGGAGTGCCATGATCTTCACAAAAACTATCTAACTCATAGAGAAACTTTATATTGCATGCTCGAAATATATTCATTTCATTTTTCTATTCTATAGGTCATTTGGAAAACTTGTATGTAATTCTATTTCAAATAAAAGTTATCAAGATAAAAAGAGGATGAAAAGAATTTAAAGCATGTCATCAAACTGTATCTATACAAAGTAATTGTCACTTGTGGATTCAACCTACACTCTAAACAGCATATGATAGCTATACAGTACAACCGAATTAGATATGACACACGTCACATAAGAAAATTTTTTGAAGTAAGATTTTCAGGTAACCCCGACAAAGTGAACGAAATTTTTTACCAACATCTGCACTCACAGCGGCAAGTATTCTCTCAAGTTATTCCGTCGTAACAAAGCGATACACTAGATCGAGAACTAAAAGCAACAGAGCAACTCTCGTTTCACTAAACGAATTTTCAGTAACAGCCAGCAAAATAGTATCAGCTGTCAGTCATGATTAAAATCTTCACAAAACACAAAAGAATGCTGCCCCAATAAGTTTCACACCCATATTCAAATCTAAACTTTTAGTTTGACATACATTCAACTATCCATCTCGTACAACAATAAGCTACCTGGACAGGTTGGTGAGGGCATACAGAGATACAGGAATATAAAAATCGAACTACCATCCTTCACTATCATAATCATGGACTTAATATTCACCATCACCGGCGAAATTTATAACGTTCACTCAGCATTACAAATGAAAACCATTTAACATACTTGTCTCTATTCGCTAAAAAACTTTCATATCTCATACCTAAGTTTCCAACAAGTCGACCTGACACAGTTCAATAAATGATTCACTCTCATAAACTCCTTCACTAAATGTACGTCTCCCACAACTTCTCGTTGTATCGGCTAATTACCCTTGAAAGCTCATTTCTCACGAACTTAAATACGTAAACGACGATGTTCTCATCTAGATCATCAAAATGTCATTTTCTAAAATAACCTACGACAAAAAGTTTCAGTCATTCGATTTCGTCACCGTGAAATTCCATTTATTTAGAGCGCATCCTCAAAACGATCATTATCTTGATTTCAAATCCGTCGAATTGCATTGACTCATAGTCCAACAGGGAAAATCGACGACATGATGGATTCGACAATACACAATCTCATTAGGTCATAGCCCATCTCGAAAAACTCCTGATTGGCCTGATTTCTGTATCCCATAGTCTTATTGCCGAAGAGAGCATATAGAAAAACGCCTCATTTTCCCGATTAAAATGCTGGAGAATCTCAATGGCGCAATCCCAGATCGTCAAAACATATAATTGATCCAAATGGCCACTCTCCAAAACTCGTTAGCACATTGCCAGCCCCCGAAAACATATGATTGGTCCGTTTGGCCAATCGCGAAATATCATTGGCGCAAAGCCAGACCTCGAAAACCTATGATTGGTCCGTTTGATCAATCGCGAAATATCATTGGCGCAAAGCCAGACCATGAAAACATATGATTGGTCGAAATGGTCACTCGCGAAATATCATTGGCGCATAGCCAGACCTCGAAAACCTATGATTGGTCCGTTTGACCAATCGCGAAATATCATTGGCGCATAGCCAGATCATGAAAACCTATGATTGATCCAAGTGGCCACTCTCGGAATCTCATTGGCGCATAGCCGGATCATGAAAACCTATGATTGGTCCAAGTGGCCACTCTCGGAATCTCATTGGCGCATAGCCAGACCATGAAAACCTATGATTGGTCCAAGTGGCCACTCTCGAATTCTTATTGGCGCATAGCCAGACCATGAAAACCTATGATTGGTCCAAGTGACTACTCTCGGAATCGCATTGGCGCATAGCCAGATCATGAAAACCTATGATTGGTCCAAGTGGTCACTCTCGGATTCTCATTGGCGCATAGCCAGACCATGAAAACCTATGATTGGTCCAAGTGGCCACTCTCGGAATCTCATTGGCGCATAGCCAGATCATGAAAACCTATGATTGATCCAAGTGCCCACTCTCGGAATCTCATCGGCGCATAGGCAGATCTCGAAAACACATGATTGGCTAGAAACCTGTCGCTCCAAATCTGATTGGCTGGAACGGGTACGCAGCTGACGTCTGATTGGTCCAGGGTCTAGATACTGTTCACGGATCCAATGGCAAAGATTAAGGTTTGTTGTAAAATTGATGACGTGATAGGTCAAAGAAACATTTTTTCGTTCTGTGCGAACGAACGAACCTAACTCGGTGTATGACCCTCCTTTCAGTAGAGGGAATAAACAATAGTACAAAGATAGGTGATCACGCCAGACGTGTTGAACAATAGCATAAAGAATGATTGTCATACCGGACGTTGAGTAATAGTATAAACAACGATGGTCACGCCAAATGTAGAATAATAGACAATTGAAAGATAACATGATAGTCAAGGATCACCTCGATAACATGAAATCACATTTTTCTTAGCAAGACTAATATGATAATCTTCTAACGCACTAGTTAAATCATGACTTTATAGCATTCAAAACATATGAAAGCTAGACATTTAGATACGTATGCAAATAAACTCATTTTATACTGTATTTTAGTTGATATATTCACTGACATATTAAACAATTACTATGAATGAATTTTACTGAATCCATTAAAAAGAATACGAACACACTCTAATCTAGCTAGTTTTGATCTCTTTTGATCGGATAATTCTACAATTGGTCTAGTACACACGACTTTACGNTTTTTTTTAATATTTTTTTGCAATTTTCAAGGTTCTTCGTGGTTGTTGTCTTTATTGTCATACAATTCAATGTTCAAATGTAGAAAAATATTTATTTAATATGCAAATGCTTTATTTAAAACATGGTCAAACAAATGAAATAGATAATTTACAATCCATTTATAAAACATGGATATTAGAAAGAAAATCTTTAGATACATTTTATGAAAACATAAACGAACATATGAAATTAAATCCACCATCATCAACTAGAATAGAAGCAACAACGAAAAATTTATTAGCTATTCGACAGCAACTTATTAAAGATTTTGAAGCACGATCATTCAAAGCAAAAAGTTTGTAAGTTTTTACAGAAAAATTTTGTCCCAATTGTAATACACCTGTACGTACACTTCGTGCGGATTCACATTCAAAACTTTTTTATTCTCAAGGAGTTTCAAATAAACAAATAAAAGCGTATCAAGAACGCATGTCTAATGTTCGGTAAGTATTCAACAAATTGTTTCTCATCAGTGACTTAATTCGAATTCTAATATCATCTTTTAAATAACCATACAAATCGAACTATCGTGTGTACTCAGCGATCTATTAGTTGTAATACAAAATACCGCATAGAACAGATAACTATTCAAATAAATAGATGTTGAAAGAAATTGGAATACCTTGACAGATCAGTGTAGGATTTATGAATTTTTAGTTTTTATCTTTAGTTCAGTTATGCTCTTTATTCTAAACATAAACGAAAATTTTTCCTATACTTGAGTAATTCATGCTTATTCTCAGTCTATGAATATGCAATTATATATTTTAGTCAAAATAGAACAATATTGAAAAGCACATTAGTATTTTCGATTTTACAGTTAAGTTCACTAAATGACATACCTTTTATTTTCTTTCTTTCTATCTTGGATTTTGCATTTAAGTCGTTCGCTATTTAGCAATATAATCGATTCGAATTAGTATTAGTTTTACTTGTTGAGGTCGAACTGGCACGGACAAATTCTCCTAGTAGGAATTTACATTAGCGCATTTTTTTACAGAAGCAAAATAATAAGAAAAATAAGTTTTTGCTTCGCTTTCGACAGATTAAAAATGAACTTAACTATTACTTCTTGAATATAGAGCACTTGCATATATATCAAATTTTGAAAATTGTCCTTCTCAACTCAGCATACAAGTCTTGATAACTGAACATTGCGCCTTTTCGCACAGTACGAAATTAGAGTTTCATATATGCAAAACCGTTTTTCCTTACCACAAACAACTCGGCTAACTGATGAAAAGCTTTTCAGTTCATATTTTATTGGTAAGTGAAAGTATAAGCTCGAAAGTTTTTAATCAGTTTGTTGAATCTTCTCCTTAGTTCCGATAGACGTAAATGCACGATAGCATATTAAAATCTACACAACGTAATACTCGATATTAATGCGACAAAAACAATTCTAATAAAATTTTTATTAGAATCGAAAAATCTTTTTTTCTTTTTATTGATTATAGACAATCAAAAAAAATGGACAATAATGATGAATCAATGGATAATGATGAAGAAGAAATGTTAACAAAAATGATGTCCAGTCAAATGTATTTAACACCATTAGATGTATTAAAACATTTAGAAAAAATTTGGGCGAATGAAAAAGAAGTTCTTGCAATTTACTTAGCTACTTTACGATCATTACATCATTCAATAACGCATGCTCATAATAATCCGATAAGTTTATTCTTTTTTGAAGTTCTACCTGTTTTGCCGTCAAAATTTCGTCCCGTATGTATTTAGTTATATTTAAAAGAAAAAGCTTTAAATTAGAAATATTTCTCTTTTCTAAGGTTTTGTCATTTAATGATCAAAAATTTGAAAATCCAAAAACAGTTCGATATTCAACAATTATTCAAGATAATCAATTAATTAAAGAACTTTTATTATTAAAAGATAAACAAACCACAGATATATCGACATCAACTACTGTAAGATATTTTTATTTATTAGTCTTTATATTTTATGAGTTTTTGTGAAACACGATCTAAAAGGAATTCTTGACGTATATCGGTAAAAATTTGAATTCCCCACTTTCTTTTCTACACACGTAACAGATATAACTGCAAGATCTAAGTCTAGCTACAGGATTAGTCTGATAGTTATCCTTTACTTTTTTTTCATGCTCACTTCAATACATTGTGATTTAATATTTGCCATCATCGATATGCATTAACAATAGGCAGGAATTCATAAATTGAAACATTACAATACCGAAAACTTTATTGTGTTTCACATTTTAATCTTGCAGGGATTGCACTAACAACTTTACTTTATTTGTATTTAGAATCGATCATCTTTAACTAATACTTTACGTGGTGCAACAAATGAAGAAAAACTTAATAATCTTTGGCTTAAAATGCAAATTACTGTTAATTCTATATTTGATAGTTCATTAGATAATCGAAGTGGTGCTCGAGTAGCGAAAGGCATTCGACAAGTATATCAATAGATTTTTTTTTTGTTTTTTTTAATTCTAATTTTATTTTTAAAATAAAAGGTTATTGAAAAAAAAGAAGGTCTATTTCGTATGCATATGATGGGTAAACGTGTAAATTATGCTGGTCGATCAGTAATATCACCTGATCCATTTATTGCAATTTATGAAGTTGGAATACCTGAAATATTTGCCAAAAAATTAACTTATCCAGAATTAGTTACACCACATAATGTTCATGAATTACGTCAATTAATTCTTAATGGACCAGATGTCCATCCTGGGTATAAGAAAAACAAATACTCGCTTACGAATATAAAACAGGATTATTTTTATTATTTTAGAGCAAATTTTGTTGAACTTGAAGATGGAACAATTCGTCGTTTATTACCAAATAATTTATCTCAACGAACTGCTGTTGCTAAACTTCTATTAACAAGAGAAAAACAACATGGTAATACAACATTAATGTCTACTAAAAGAGTTTATCGACATCTTCGAACCGGTGATTATGTTCTTGTTAATCGTCAACCAACATTACATCGACCAAGTATACAAGCTCATATGGTAAATTTTTTTTCTACATTGTTCGTTGAATTACATTCATGGTAATAATTATAGGCTCGAGTTTTGCCTGGTGAAAAAACTTTACGACTACATTATGCTCAATGTAAATCGTATAATGCTGATTTTGATGGGGATGAAATGAATATTCATTTACCACAAAATGAATTAGGACGAGCTGAAGCTGCTGTATTAAGTAAGTATTTCACTTTTTTCTCTCACAGAAAAATTTCCAAAAAAAGAAAATATTTTTTTTCGTTTAGTGATAACTTATCAACATTTTCTTGTAAGCAAAGATGGAACACCATTAACTGGTCTTATTCAAGATCATGTTGTTGCTGGTACAGCATTAACAATGCGTGATCGATTTTTTGAAAAGTATTTATTTATGTTTTACTTGAAAATCGTATTTATTAATTTTTTGTTCTAAGATCTGATTATCAACAACTTGTATATAATGCTATTGGATCGTATTCTCGTCGAAAAATTCATTTATTACCACCATGTATTTGGAAACCAAAACAATTATGGACTGGAAAACAAGTATTTTCATTAATCTTTTTTTTTTTCTCTTAATAAAATCTATTTGCTTTTGTTGTTGTTTTTTTTTTGTTAAGATTATTTCAACAATTCTTCTTTATATTCAACCAGCTAATGAAGCATCACTTAATCTTGATAGTAAATCAAAACTTTCAATGAAAGTAAGGAAATTACTTAGTATAAATAATAAGAAAAACAAAATAATAAATATCTTTATAATAGTCATGGCCATCAAAACCAAATGCAACAAATATTGATTTAATGGCTGATACTGATGTTATTATTCGTCATGGACATCTTCTATCTGGTTTAATTGATAAAGCACATTGTGGTGCAACACTTGCATCTGTTGTTCATTGTTATTATGAATTATACGGAAAACGTTGCGCTGCTGATCTTATTACTGCTTTTTCGAAATTATTTACACTCTTTTTACAATATTATCGAGGATTTACACTTGGAATTGAAGGTTAATTTGTTGTTGTTTTTGATCTATAAATAAAAATTCTTTTAGATGTTCTTTTACTTTCACCTGGTGTTTCACATCGACGTCGATTAATAAATGAATGTCGTGCTCAAGCAGGTCAAAAAGCTTTACAAAAAACGTTTTCTCTTCCTGAAAATTCCAATGAAGAAGTACTTACTGATGAATTTGCTAAAGCATTTTGTTCAAAATCATTTGATGAACGTATATCAAAAGAAATGGATATGAATTACAAAACATCTATTGATGAATATCAAAATCAAATAATTAAACAATGTATGTCGCATTTATTCAAACAATTTCCAGATAATAATTTACAATTTTTAATTCAATCGGGTGCTAAAGGTAAAACTATTGATTCATTAGTTTTTATTCAGATTGGTTTTCGTTTAATCTAAGACATTTACTTGAAGTTCAACTAGGATATAGACTGAGATCATAGACTGATATAATACATTATTGAAAATCGAAATCTATTTATTAAGCCTTCTATTCTACATTTTTAATTTCAAGTTGACTAATTCTATACTCGAATCTATTAATAAATATGTCGCTTGGATTTTTGTACGACTATTGAATCCATCTCGGATTTTTTGACCTGAATACTCCCCACATGCGTAGAAGTGTATAAGATCCCATAAATTAGAGTTTTCAAACTTTCTGAGAACTTCAATTCAAGCTATGATAGATATGGATGAATTAAAAATTGATTTGTATACTTTTTTCGTTCGATGTTGTTAGATAACCTTAGTGATGCATTCCTTACACTGCTTTTCTCAGATACATATTCATCTACCATCAGTACTTTGTGGATCTTAATACAGATACGTAAAATCGCGCTTATTACGATATTTTAGTTTGAGAAAATAAGCAGAAATACAAGCAAATATATTTCAATTATCTTGAAAAAAGTATCAAGTGAATCTTTTATTACCAAATGACGACTTCTCATTTGTATGAAATAGACAAAACCACTCGTGTAATCTTAATTGACCATTGTTTAGCTTTGTGACATGTCTCATATTTCTGTCGACCTAATAAAAATTTACATCGTTTGATTTCTAGACTATGCATAATTCTATAACAAGAAGAAACTAAACAGAATGGTATTTAAAACATGCCTGTTTCTTATTTATCATTTTCTGAACAGCTATCTCTCATAAATGTTCATGTGTGCACATTTTTTCGGTTCACGAACGATACTCGTTTATTCGTTAATAGAAAACATGTACAATTAACGAAATTAGATACACTAAAGAAGCTACAACTAGACAGCAGAAAGTCATGAACTAATCAATTTTATGATTTTCATTGTTCTTTTGCACTGATTCAGGTAGGAAGAACTTCTATTTCCTGACGAGATCTGAATCGATATTTATTTTGAATAACTTTTTCATATCAGTGATAATTAAGGGATACCTAATGCATATCTAAAGACACAAAATTAGAACTAAATTTTGACGATGTGCTGCATCAAATAAACTTGACCGAGTTTGAAGATAGTTTCTAAACACTTAGAATCGATTTCAATGATTTGTCAGTATTTTTATTGTTGATATTGAACTGCTTTAATTGAACAACTCGAATTTCTTAGTTGGAAATTCGACGATCTCCCACACACTTTTAATCCTTGCTTTGTTAACAGTAAAAAAAAAAAAACTTTGCTACTAATTCCAAAGTTATAGTAATAAAAAAAACAACGCTTTTGATATTATTTTAAGGTTCGTCTGTAAATGCAATGCAAATGTCTTGTTTACTTGGTCAACAAGAATTAGAAGGCAAGCGTCCACCAATGATGCCAAGTGGTCGAACTTTGCCGTCATTTCGTCCCTATGAATATTCACCACGATCAGGTGGTTTTGTCGATGGCAGTTTTTTAAGTGGTATTCGACCACAAGAATATTTTTTTCATTGTATGGCTGGACGAGAAGTATAAAAACATTTGTTTGCTTGTTTTGTTAAATCTATTTCTTATCATTTTTTTTCTTCTTCAATTAGGGTCTTATTGATACAGCTGTAAAAACTGCCCGCATTGGTTATTTACAACGTTGTTTAATGAAACATTTAGAAGGTTTAGTTGTTAATTATGATTTAACAGTTCGTGATAGTGATGGAAGTGTTATACAGTTTCAATATGGTGAGGATGGTTTAGCTGTTGAAAAATGTACGTATTTAAAAGAAGCATATTATCCATTTCTTATTGCTAATCACTCAACAATATTACGTGAAGATGAATATTCACGTATTGTTGATATGTGTGGTTCGACCAAAGAAAAACCAATAATAAAAAAATTAAAAAAAATTCGTGCATGGAGAAAAAAGACTCGAGATTTAGCTGACGATGATAATAATTTAAATGATTCAATAAGATTAAAAATAAGTGATGAAACTAAAATACGTATGACACCATTTATAAATTATTCACGTTTTTTTGATTTACATACATTAACAAATTCATTAAAAAGTAAAGATATTAATGAAGCACGTTCAATTATGGTTCAAACATGGAGAGATTTATCTGATGATAAACGTCAACAATATAATCATGGTGTTGTTAAATTTTATTCACCTGTTACACAAAATTATTTACCAGCATCTAATTTAGGTGCTATTACTGAACGTTTAGATGATTTAATTAGAAATTATATTACAACACATGGTAAATTAGATCAAACTAATATGGATAAACGAACATTTGAAAAAATGCTTCATTTTAAATCACTTAAATCATGTATTGATCCAGGTGAAAGTGTTGGTATTTTAGCAGCTCAATCTATTGGAGAACCTAGTACACAAATGACATTGAATAGTAAGTTATATTCAGATATGAGTTGTATTTTGATAGATTTCATATATTTCAACGATATTATTTTTTGAAATATGATCTGAAACGAGTACTAAAATAATAGAGATAAAAATTTAGAATTCCCTTATGCCCCTACGGACCGTGACAGACTTTGAAATACGATTCACAGGTATTGCGCTAACAGCTATTGTTATTCGTAATCAAATTCGATTTTTTTGTCAACTAGAAAGAATGAAAAAGAACAAAGATGATTTTATTCATTTTCCAGATAAACACAGGTGGAAAAAAGACTGAACTAAACTTGAAACGATGTTTGAAAATATCAACTTGATATGTGATGACTTATAGATTTATAATTCGAATAAATTTATAATCAAAGAATTAGTCAATAGTACCCATTGTGGTGATTGAAAATTGAATAAACGATACATTAACTTAGTCAGTCGATATTGAACTATAATATGTCTAATTTGAATCAAATCTCATTCTATAACTTCGATTTATGTGTAAATCAAAGAAATGCCTACTAATTCCAGTAAATAAATCAAGAATCTTAGAATAGAATGTATGCAAGCACACTGAAGCTCATTAAAACCTATGACAATTCATCGAAATCCAATAAATACATTAGAAGCCAGCAATTTTCACTATGATTTGAAATTAAAGAAGAAAATGTGCATCTTGATAAATCCTATTAAATTTCAACAATCAAAAAAATCTATCAGAACTCAATAAAATCCAGTGGAGTTTGAGAATATCAGATTTGCTTTTTTTCATTTTTGTATTTAATCTTAGCTCCCATTTTTTTATGACTTAGTTTCATTTAATTTTGATAGATTCTGTGGTACTTGAAATTCAATAGAATCTATTCTTCTTTTTATAAACTACTATTTTAATTTCATTAACAAATAGACAAATAGAAAAATGTGAAGATTCGATCTGTTATTTGAAAGCTAAATAAAATTTGAAAAGTTTCATGTGTTTTAAACTATGTAGAACATATCGAATGTCTTCCCTGTTTTTCCT